TGTCATTTATTTGGTCGATGACATGGTCTCTATCACATGTTTTTGACAAATAATTAATATATCTATAAACAAGGAATATTACGTATCTATACATTGAGAAGATATTGGTTACGAGAGACCAAGAGGGTGAATATCATTACACAGGAAATGAATTAAATATATTACATTGATTATTTATGGAGGTTTGTAAACACAAGTAACTACTTTAAAGTACCATCTTAAATATAAACTCTCAATAAATATTAGAAAATCCCAAGCAGCTCCCACCTCTCTCCTATGAAAAACTCAAAACACACCTCCTGTTAAACTTAAAAATATGCACCTATTGGTTCTGATATTTGTTCATAAAGGTGAAAAGGGATAAATATGCTTGTCATTTATTTCATCAAGGCCTTCTAAAAATAGGGTTAATCAAGTATTATTTTGACCCCATCTAATCATGGATATCATGTCTTGTCTATTTGCTAACAACAAATGCCCATTACCATTAATCTCTTGAAATTAAGCAACACAATAAAACTAACCAACACGGCAATCCATACTCAAGAAAATATAAATCAATGAGTTGAACATTGTCTCGTCCATCATTGAAGTAAGTTGGACCAGGGGTGTTCTTCTTCTTGATGACCTCCTTAATCATAAACTCTAGAACCTCAATCCCCATGGTTTGGGCATGAACACATCAACAACAACACTCATGAACACCTCCATGGCATGACCATCAGCTGACATCTGAACAATCTTCCCATCAGTTTCTCCAAAGAACGGATCGTCACAACTGCCATGTAAAAAATAAGAAAACATTTTTGAATTTTATTCATAGATAAAACAAAGAGTTTTGTTTAGACAAGTACATAAGAGAAACTCTCAAATAATTGCCAGGTTGTGTTTATATGAAACTTGATACTTCATGTCTAAAATTTGTCTTAAACAACATGACATCAAATTACTAGAAGAAATTCTTTGAGTTACAATTCCAAATTTAAAATTCTAGCCAATAAATTTTACTACCTTCTTATGTCCTACAAGTGCATAAGGTCAGTTGAAGTGCATGTCCGAGCAGCAACGTTCCCAAGTTTAATATCAACCCCACAGTGTCGATGAGTAAAGGTGGCTAGTTGAACGAGGGTGCCTTACATGCCCATCTGGATCTTACTCGTGAATATTTTTTAAGTGGCACAGCCATTGTTTTTGAAAGGTATGAACATTTTTTTCCTATTACGTGAACAAAATTTGTATTTTTTGGACATTCTTTAAAACTACTAAGAACATACTTTTAAATGTGTGAACATTTTTCAGTTGCTTGATTTAAAAAAATTATGCCAACAAACTATTACATTCGATGAAGATTTTTAATGTGTGGTAAACATTTCTAAATACAGGCATTTAAAAGAATACTTGAACACTTACTTATGCAAGCATACATTTCTAGAACATTTATGTAAATAGATAAAAGAATTGAAAACATAAATAAAATATGTTTATGTAATGTAAGAAAAGTGTTTATGACATTTAATTAAGTATGTTTATACACTGTAAAAAGTATGTGTAATTTAAAAAAAGTTTCATACCATTAAAAATGTGAAATTAAAAACAATGTTCACCCATTTAAAAAATTGTTCATAAAATTTTGAGAAAACTTAACACGATCTAAAAAAAATGTTTGTTTAATTTATAAAAATGTTGTGTACCTTTAATAGAAACGTTCATAAGGTTTTCTGAAAATGTTTAGGCATTTCAAATTATGTTTGTCAGTTTTTTGAAATGGTTTATAGAAAGTGAAAAAAATATTATAATATTTTTTTCAAAAAATGTGTCAAACCATTCAAGAGAAATCAATGTTTATTTGAAAAATATTTAACATAAAATTATATTCAAACATGCTGAAATTCTGTGAAGATTACCCTTGCATCATTGCCAAGAATGTGTGAAGATTACCCTTGCAGAGCATGAAAAAGTTCTAGAAGGTGTCAAGAAGGCCCTGTCAGAGCAACAAGCTGAAATTGAAAGTCTGTTATTGGGCCTGTTATATCTGCATAACCGTCTTGAATGAATGAACACTGCCCATGTGGAGGAAACAACAAGAACCTAACCTCGTCAAGGAAGCAAAGGAAGTGAACACCTTAGATCTCGAAAACAGGCTTGATGATATTGACGGATTGCTAAAGTTCATCGCCCGGACTGCGTTGGCACCATCCAATGAGATGTGACCAATGCAATTAAGGCATATGTCTAATTTTCATTCTGTAGCTGTGGCTCATGGTTGGCTATTGTAATGTCTTGTACAGTCCGTTTGAGTTCACAATTGTGAAGGTTGCGGTTTACTAAAAGTTGTGACTGCTGAATTTGGATTGAAATTTAAATTTCACATGAATACATATTAATTTATTTTTAAAAATCAATATTGAATGAAATGTGACCCCCAATTGCAATATAATGCAAATTGACCGTGCCTAAATACTGTGACGATCATGAATGGTGTCACAAGCGTACGGTCCCACGTAAGAAGCCATGTCACCCACGTATGGACCCGCGTGCCAGCATCCACGTCATCACAACAATGGGCCCACATGTCAGAATCATTGACCGGTTAGAGGACACAGCGTCACCGAAATAGAACACATGGTCCCACATGTAAGCAGCCACGTTAGCATCTTCTGGGCCCAGCCCATATATCAGCATCGTTGACCGGTCAAACTGACGGCCAACATATTACTGACAGGACCGTCGACGATAAAACTCATGACAAACCCACATGGAAGTAACCAAGTCGGCAACTACTAGCCCCACCTGTCTGAATCTTTGACCGGTCAACCCTCCGGTCCGATCACCGGTGACGGATTATCGTCGCCAAAATGATCTTACGCGACAGATTGGGCCATATAGGTGACATTTTGGGTCGTCAATGACAACATCAATCGGTGACATTATTGGCTCGTCACCTGAAATGCGATTGTGTGTGTCGAAAAAATGGTATCGTCAAAATTTTATTTGCCATGACGGCGCTTCGGTGACGATGGGGTGACGGCCGGAAAACATCACGGGGGCGCTTTCCGTGATGAAAAAGGTTTATATGTGACACAAGTGAAACATCAAAAATAGATCAAATTTTGTTGTGTGAGGGACCTCGGATTTCAAACTTTACGTCATGAATGCATCCATACACGATACAACAAGGAGCTAGATATGTGCCAAGCATGAATGCACACAACTCAAATCTAGGTAATATTACATGACAAGCATGTTATTTGTACCACTCCATCTATTTCTGCATGACAAAATATAGCAACTCTTGTCAACATAGGCATCGGCCATACAAAACAACATAAAAGTTGTACGATCTGGCATGAGTATGCGCTTCGAATTTGTCATTTTCTATAATAAACGATCCGGCGGCCTACTTAGCCTAGCTTCATACACGTGTGTGTACTTCGCTGGAAAGCACCCCCAGTAAGCCGTGAGTCAAGGTCGAAGTTGCGCCAACAGGAATGACATGAGCGCCATGGTCGAGCGTTGCGTCGACGAGCAAAGTAGAAGCGGCGGTGAACCAGGAGTGGCTGTGTGGATTAGTTATAGCGTCCTGCCTCAAAGGACGGGCCACACCGACTTACGGAAGGCCACGTACGAGCGGATCATTGGCAGTGACGAAGCCAGTGGGGGCGAGCTAGGGCCATGGCTGCCACATGGCAATCTATTTTCTGAAACAACCTTAGGGCCTCTTTGATTCATAGGACTGCAAAAACACAGGAATAGGAAACACGTAGGATTGGAATGGCATGTCCAGCGGATCCCTATAGGATTTGAGTTTGTTTGATTGTTCCATGGGAAAAACAAAGGATTTCTTCCAAGAGGTTGGAGTGGATGTTAGAATTCCTGTGAAATGTAGTACAAATGAATCCTTAGGAAAAAAATTCTACAGGACTCAATCCTACGAATCAAACGATCGACGTAGGAAAAATTCCTAAAGATTCTAATCCTTCAAAGATCCTACGGAAATCCTTTGAATCAAAGAGACCCTTAGATTGTTAGCTTAAAGTGTTCTAAATTTGTATGTTTGTCCCTCTTAACATTTTATCTTTTCCATTGGTCCCTCTTTAGTATGCTTCGTGGCTCCGTCCCTGATCATCGGCACCTCCAGGGCCCACTCGCCCATTTTCTTCAACTACAAGCAGATCCTCTACCAATTAGACAAGAATATTTACCTGGGTTCTCATCCATGCCTAGATGATCAGCCCTTAATTTGACTCAAAATTTGTTCTTTTCATGTTATGTGAGTAGCCTGTTGGTTACACATAATAGAGTAACTGTAAGTTTTTGAATAATAAAAACTGTAAGTTTCACGCCATCAAAGTCGAGGATGGTTAGTGGCCTTGGCTCATGCAAGGCATGTGGTTGATCGATTCATGTTCGTGTTCATCATTTTCTTTCGTTGCAACGCACAGACATATGTGCTAGTATCTTCAAAGGAAAAGCTAGATACGAAAAATCTCCGAAAATATAGCCCCCATGGTTCCATTCAAACAGGCCCCCCTACTATTTACTTTTTTTTTTAGAATCAACAGGCCTTCCTACATGAAACATTATTGAATTGTATTTCTATACGTGCACGGGGTACGTACGCATTCCTCATCTTTATCATACGAGCCGCGTAGGATAGCTTTGACCCATCACCACGAAAATCATTTCTTTAACAAACCCGCTGACGAGAAACCCAATCCCGTACTCGTGCAGAAACCGCAAAAAAGGAGGCGCAGAAGTTCACGGAAACGCAAAAAAGAAAGAAATAAACAAATCCGCGACGAACCAAACGCCAAAGCGACCCATCTCCTCCCTTCCGATCTCCATCTCCATCTCCATCTTCTCTTCCCGTCCCGTCTCCGCTAGTCCCCCTTCCGAGCGAGACAGCAGCGCAAACCCTCCCTCCCCCACCTGCCGCCGCCTCGATTCGCCGCCTAGGTCCGTCCGGCGAGGTAGGGCGGGAGGCGCGGCGGCTGGTGGCCATGTGGCCCGGCTGCGGCGGCCGCTTCTACTGGGCGCCCGCGCCGCCGTCGGGGGCGAGGGGCGTCGTGGTCGTGTTCGCGTGGGTGTGGAGCGACGAGGCGCAGCTGCGGCCGTTCGTCGAGCTCTACGCCTCGCTCGGCTGGCGCTGCCTCGTCTGCCACCCCGACCTCGTATCGCTGTGAGTGGCGCTGCTTCCCCCATCCTCCCGCTCTCGCTCCCTGCTACTTGTCGCTTGTGCTAGCTGCTTGATTCGGGAGATCTGTTGCTCGTCTGGGCTCGTATAGAAGTGGCCGCCTGTAGCTCTGCGGCCTCATGGAGTGGAATTATAGCTGCGGTTAGGTTTAATTTTAGAGTTTCTGAGATTGGTCACTGATGTTGTAGCTGCGGTTAGGTTTAATTTTAGAGGTTCTGAGATTGGTCACTGATTTCGTAGCTGCGGTTAGGCTTGATTTGAGATTGGTCGCTAATTTTGTGTCTACCCGAATCATTGGGGACTAGGCTTTATCCTTCAGGTTTAGCTTGTTATGAAAATTTTTCTGGAGTTCAATTAGTTGTTGGGTAGTGTTTGATGGGTCACTCGATTCATCACTGCGTGTTAGTTCTCTTAGTTCGAGCATCTCTGTAGCTGTGTAATTTATACTCTTCTATATTCTGCATGGTTTACATTGTCGCTTTGTGCACTTTTAGGTATATATGCCTACGTACCTGCAGCATGCGAGTGGTTAGCGTCTTAGTGATTTTGCGTGTTTGGGGTTTGATTACGCTTTGAGATTTGGTAAAGCTTATTTATTGGAGGATAAGGGAAGGTTTTGCATTGTGGTACTTGCGTTTTTGCGCAAATGAGGATGCGAAAAATCGAAGGTATCAATTTTAGTAAGTAAAAATGAAATACTAAGATTGAACCTTCTGAAACTACTAGTATGTTGAACTAGCAAAAGGAGCTAAAATAACATGGATTACCTCAATGTGTTAAGAATGTTTGGTACATCCATCCAGAGTTTTGTTGCCTGAACACAGTTTGTGCATCTGCAAGCTTGGTAGTCATTTATGTAGTTTGTGCAGAGACCTCAGAGTAATTTTGTTGAATATCATTAGCAAATTAAGTGCATCAAATCAGATGTTGCTGGAGGTAGAGGATCTTCATCAGCATCATCTGTTGCTGGTAGAGCTATAGGCTTCATTCAGCAGGGTATTTCACCTAAAATGACACTTGAGTGAGTACCATTGTAACACTAGGTCACTAGCAATGGAGTTCCTTGCCTCGTGCTTCAGTTGTCTACTTATCTTATACTTGAAGGGCTATGGTGTAAACATGAATATGGGGTCTTCTGCAGTCTGCATCCTTAGGTTCCTATTTACACCTAATGGCAGTATACTGATTCTTTTCTTCTTCCAGGTATCTCTCTGAGAAAGCAGCAACATTGGCATGTGGTGTTATTAGTGAGCTGGCAAAGGTACATTTTTTCTTGGTTGTTGTACTCCACAAATACCACGTTGTATATTAAGCATTGATAACTTTATTGTTCAAATGAAGAAAATAATACTCCCTCTGTCCGAATATACTTGTCGGAGAAATATACATCCATTTCTAATATACATCCATTTCTCCGACAAGTATTTCCGGAAGGAGGGAGTAAGTAACTTTGTTCCTTGTTGTTTTAGTCAATGATCATATTGTATTTAGCCTACTCCAGCACTGACACTATTTTGTAATACACATGGGACTGTTTCTCTTTTTGCTCCTTAATCATCCAAATGATTTATATACAAAAATGTATAGATGTAAGAACCCCTGGCAGAACACATTAATTTAGAGTTTGACCCTTCACCCCTTTCCATTTATTTTATACTTTCCGTCCAAGCGGCAACCTCTACATAATCTTCTTGCTGATTTAGAGTCTGAAATATTTGCATGTTGACACATTATAAACTTTCTGTATTGTTTAGAAGAATGAATATAAGCTCTCGTGGAATGGGACTTCTGTTTACTATCTTTCCACTTGGTTGCAGTTAATTATTTTTACAATTTTTTGTTTTTAACTATGTGAAATGCTGGTGTTTCAGGAATTGAAAGTAAAGCCATTGCCAACTGTGTTTGCTTCTTTTTCTGGTGGCTCAAAGGGATGCATGTACAAGGTTATTCAGGTGCATGCTTGTTTGATTCTTCCTTTTGCCACCTCATCGTACCTATCATCTATTTGCCTATCCCCTTTCACAGTTTAAATGACTAAATTTGATTGGTTACGCAGTTACTAGACGGAAGATGTGAAGGAGATGCAATGATGGTATGTTATTTCCATCTTTTCTCTTCTCCTGAAGTTTACATATGCATTTCTCTTTGTTGAAAGGATAATGGGAACCTATTTAAAAATCATATCTATGTCAATTGTGAACTGTATATACTAGGTTTTGTTTTCTTCCATTTGCATGTACTGTGTAGTAATTTGCTCATTCTGTTGAAGTTGTTTTTTACGTCATTGTCATTATGTTCTGACTAGGCATATTTTCAGTTGCATATATTCGATCTCTTGAATATACTTGGAAGTCTCTAATCATCATTCTATGTTTAAGTCCTCATTTTCTTTGCCATTGTCATCATGTTTTGACTTGGCATATTATCAGCTGAGGATTTGTCGGCAAACATGTTAAACATTATTGATGTAAATTTTCCATTATGTAGAAGGACTATCGGTTAGTTAGAAACTGTATCTCTGGCCAAGTTTATGACTCTGGCCCAGTGGATTTTGTGAGCGATGTGGGCACACAGTTTCTTCAAAATCCTGTAATTGGCACTTCATCTCAACCATCCATGCTACGTTCCTTGATGGCAAAGGCTCTGGCATCTGGAATGGATACTCTCTTCCCAAGCAGAATTGAAGCTCAGCGTGCAGAATATTGGCACACGCTATACTCATCAGCAGTAAGTCTGGTTTGCCTTTATGATTTTTGCAAATCATCTTCACTAGCCACACCGATTGACTTTTAACTGTTCATCCAGGGGTTGGGTTCAGTTCTTATATTTTGCTCGGAAGGCGATGATCTTGCTCCATGCCATGTTGTCTGTGGTTTCGCCAGGCGTTTGGTCGAACTAGGCACAGATGTTAAAGTAATCAAGTGGAGTGATTCCCCTCATATTGGTACGCCTTCATTTTATCTTCAGTGTCTGGTTTTATTAGATAGGATTACCGAGTACTAACTTAGAATGTGAAATATATTGCTAGTAAAAGGATGTATTTGCACAATTACTGTCATGGCGGCTTCCATTCCAAAACCTTGCATTAATATCATATTTGGATTTGTTAATTGCAGTAAGATTGTCTGACGGATATGAAAACAACTTCATGTCTACACGTTTAGGTCCTAGAGACCTACTCCCTCTGTCCCAAAATATAAGAACATTTTTAACACCACACTAGTGTCAAAAACGTTCTTATATTATGGGACGGAAGGAGTAGATCGCAGTAGAAGACAATGGATCAAGCATTTGCATCATCTTGCCTAACAATATTTTCCATCCATTTTAGAATTTCTAATTTATCGAAGAAGACAATACTAAGCTCAAGTGTTTGATCTGACTATTTGAAGTTTATATTCCTTGTCATGAGGGCGAATATAATATTACCTCAGAATTTAATATTACAAAGCTACATATTTGGCTATTTATGTTAAGTTTCATCTACTTGAATTCTTGATATCTTCTTCTCTGCTGTGGAAGCCATCATTGCAGATTTTATTCACAGCCAAATAACTTGTCTTTATATCCCGCAGGCCATTACAAGTTGCATGAAGCGGAATACAGAACTGCCGTCGATGATATACTGAAGAAAGCTCTTGTCACCTTCTGCCACAGAAGCCAGCTGGAGGGCACTAGTGCTGCATGGGATCAGGACTACAAGATAGCACACTGTGTGTGCAATCTACACAATGTGGCCGCCAATTCAAATGAGAGCCTGAGAAGGGTAGCCAACAGTCCCAGCGACCATTTCTTCTTGCCAAGTTCAAAGGACCATCATGATTCTAGGGAACCAGATTCTCTGATTGAGGAGCAGAAACGGTCACTACCCTATCCAGCCAGGATGGAGCCTCAAGGAGTCCTTGGCCAAATAATGTTTGATGTCTGTGTTCCGAAAAATGTTGAAGGATGGGACATCAAGCCAACAGCGTCTCCGAATGGACGACCAACGTTGGCTTCTGCACGGCAACTGGGTCCGTTCAATCCCATCAAGTACCTCCGCCGTTCAAGGCTATAGTTTGTGTTTGCTGCAAAGAAGAGTTTTGTGTATATAATGGAGGCAATATGTTAAATACCGATTATGAGCAAGCTTTGAGCTATGTAAGTTCCCTCAATATTTGACTTATTAGCTGTTTCTTTTTATGCCTTTTGGCGAGAGGATGTACATATCCTATGTATATTTTACTGGTGTATGTTAGAAGGGGGTTGGCATAGGTTCTAGCAAAGCTGTTAAGGTGTGCTAACAATATAGGCAAGGGACTGCATTATTATTGCCTTGTAAGTTTATTTTGTACCTAATATGACCTAAGTTAACTATCGGGGGAACCATTTTTTTCCCTTTTGAACCTTTGCTGCTGCTTAGCGTTTCACTGTTATTATCACTCTTCCATAAAGAACTTTGTGGTATATTCATTATTAATGCGCTCTTGGTACTTGGGATGTTTCTTTCATATCTTTGACTCAGAATTTATGTTCAGTGCCGTGGTTCTACTTCACCATGTGCTATTATAGGTGTTCCTTACTGGTTCAGATGAGGATTATTTGTCCAGCGACGGCACTTCCCTATCTCTTTCTTTTGGTCCTTGCTCACTTTTTTCTTTTTTTTTTGGAAGGGCAAAATTATTCGACGCGCCACAACTTTTTTGACCTTTGAGATCGTCTTGTGGAGTACTACTACTCTTGACTGTCCGGTTTCCTCGAAAACAACCCACTCTCCATGCCGAAGTTACAGAAACTCGCGAGCATTCTTCTCGAGCTCTAGTTCCTTCTATATCTTTTTGATAAGCGTGTTTTCCACCGAGTTTCCAATGGAGTATGTCAGGTACCGTATCTACTTTAGAAAATCGAATTCTTCAGGAACATTCAGCCTGGAAATCAGGTTCTGCAGACCGAGCCTTTTTGACTTGGCTGCTTGAGCATTTTTGTTGCATTTTCCTTGGTGGAAAAACGGAAAGAGATTTTTGACCACTCTGCATGTCCCAGAACAGTTGTCCAGATCGAATATAAACTTTGGTATATCTAACGCTGGCAGCACATGGCTGCTCAGTTTCGATCGGGGAGGCTCTGCTTGCCCTGGTTGGAACAGCATGATTCTCTTTCAAATCTTGAACTAAAACCACGGCACTTATTTGAGATGAAGAGAGTAGATAAGCACATAGGTATATAATAATTCTGAAGTTCTAAGGAGGCTTTCATGTTATTATTCGACATAGGTTGTTACACGTTGTCTTTTGAATGGGAATATCAGATCTTCAAATGCACTAAGCTGCCAGATGTGTTCTTTAATGGGGCACGAAATCATGTCATTTGACGACGCCTTTCACCTTTTTAACGAATAACAGAGGAACCATCGTAGCTTAAATCTCAAGTAAAAGCTTCGGCTCAGTTTCTGAAATTTCAACTGCGACGCAAGCTCTGTCACAACAGTCTACCACCACAGTTTTCTTCCTCGGTAGGTACAAAGATAAATCCTTATCTTTACAGTGACGAGTAAGTAAGTGAATTAGCCTAGCACCACAATTTTCCTGCTCTGCTGGTACAAGGATAAATAGTTCTTTTTAAGCAAGCGACGGATAAGTAAGTGTTTATCATTCTGGCGATATGGCCTAGCTAGCCAGGCACCCATCACATCCTATACCATGACACTTTGCGCTGCAATCGCCGATCCACGAATGCCTCGGAAAGCCTACCAAAAGAATACGATTCTTCGTTAATCAATGGCTTTTTTTTGCGTCTTTTCAAACAAAGAATCCTGGTGTTTTGAGGCTTCTAATAGATTGGTACAATCACTTTTCTTAGACTACTCCTCCCATCATTCTCCCTGATAACGTAAGATATTGTCCTACCACCACTAGGCAGTGAATATTTTGTAGACGAGGGCTTAAAGGAAAAGCATATATAGATTCACCAAGAACAAAGCGCAGATAACGATGACCAAGCAATATTAGTCCCAGGGACAACCTGTGGTCGAAATATGTGCTCAAGATTAAGTTGGGACTAAGTGGTTTCAGGAAGAGCTGAACCACATGGCTTACAGGAACGGGTTTTTTTCTTTGTTCTTGAAATCGTAAGAACCAATATAGTTGCAAGCAAATTTTGGCCACTCAGAAAATGGAAACAGAAGACGGAGATGTCACGAACTCATCAACGCATTTGGGATCGAAGAGGGGATTGGGATGAGAACGAGACTTGGGAGAGGGGATTTCTTCCAAGGGGAGAGATACAGCTTGGGGGAGAAGTTCAGAGAAAACAACACACACATCACACGCTCTGCCTATTGGCTTACAGCTGGCTAAATAGCCGTGTCCCGCTTGTCCCTCCTGCCAACTGGCTGGTGGGGTCCACCGTCACGCGTCCACCGCATCACCTCCTGGCGATGCAGGTGTGACATTCCCCTCTTCTTCCGAACGAGCTCCGTCTTCAGTTGCAGCGTGCTGATCTGCCTCATCGGTGACTTGAGTGTCCCACGCCGGCGCGTGCGGAAAGCAGTGGCGCAGAGTGTCGCAGTCCTCCCACGCCGTTGCCGTCCCGTCGTGGCGCCAGCGCACTTTGACCTGCACTAGAGCATTGTTGCCGCGCTTAACCATGCGCCGCTCCAGGATCTCCACTGGTTCGTCGTCGTGGCCGGCGAGGTCCGGAGGTCGTGGCAGCTCGGCGAAGACCGGAGTGTAGTTGGGAGTGAACGGCTTGAGCTGGGATACGTGGAAGACGGGGTGGATCCTGCTGTCCGCCGGCAGCTCCAACTTGTACGCCATCTTGCCGATTCTGTCGAGCACCACGAAGGGCCCGAAGTATTTGTACGCCAGTTTGGCACAGGGCCAGTTCGCCACTGACGACTATGCATAGGGCTGGAGCTTGAGGAGAACACGATTGCCCACCTCGAAGGAGCGCTTCGTGCGGTGCTGATCAGCCTGTTTCTTGAACCTGTGCCGGGCTCGAAGAATCTGCTCGCGAAGCCGCGCCGTGTGCACGCCCCAGTCCCAAGGCTCGCCATCGATCATGGGCACCGTCTTGTCGTCCCAGAGTGCCATGGCGCCGATGTTGGGCTCGACGCCGTACAAAGCCTTGAAAGGGGAACATTTGATGGAGGAATGAAATGATGAGTTGTACCAGAATTCCGCGGTCGGCAACCAGCGACGCCATTGCCGGGGCGCGTCGTGCACCGTGCAACGCAGGTACATTTCCATGCACTGGTTGACGCGCTCGCTCTGGCCATCCGTCTGGGGGTGGTATGCCGTAGAGAAGAGCAGCTTGGTGCCCGCGCTGGCGAAGAGCTCGCGCCATAGAGCACTGGTGAAGACACGATCACGGTCGGAGACGATGGAGCTCGGAATGCCGTGCAGCTTGACGACGTGATCCCAGAAAACCTTGGCCACTTGAGGAGCTTTGAAGGGGTGACGAAGAGGAATGAAGTGCGCGGACTTGGTGAGTCGATCCACGACCACCATGATGGAATCGAAGCCCTCCGGCGATGGCAATCCTTCCACGAAGTCCATGGTGAGGTCGCGCCGGGGTTAGTTGGCACGGGCAAGGGTGTGAGCATGCCCGCCGGCTTGGATTGCTCATGCTTGGCGTGCTGACACACTGGGCACTGCCGCACGTAGTCGGTGACGTCGGCCTTCAATCCATCCCACACAAAAAGCTTCTTGATGCGCTGGTAGGTGGCCGTGGCACCGGAGTGGCCACCGACCGCGCTGTCGTGCAGCGCGCTGATGATCTTGGTGCGCAAGGCCGTGTTCTTGCCTATCCACAAGCGCTCCTGCTTGCGAATGAGCCCCTTGTAGAGCTCGTACCCCTCGTCGTCGGGGCTGTGGATCGCAAGCCGAGCCAGGCAATCCTGCGCGTCGGCGTCCGTGGCGTAAGAATTTGCCACCTCCTGAACCCATGCGGGCTGGCACAGAGAGAGCGCGTCCAGGTTCAGCGACGCACCCACACGGGACAGAGCATCCGCAGCTCCGTTTTCGCTGCCCCGGCGGTAAAGAAACTTGAATTGGAGTCCCACCAGCTTGGCCATGGCCTTGCGTTGCAGGTCCGTGGCAAGCTGCTGATCTTGCAGGTTGCAGAGACTCTTGTGATCAGTGATGATGGTGAACGGGCCCCGTTGCGGATACGCGCGCCACTTCTCGACGGCCATCATGACGGCAATGAACTTCTCATACGCCGATAGCCGTTGATTGCGCACCCCCAGGGCCTTGCTGAGGAACGCCATCGGGTGCCCTTCCTGTGCCAGCACCGCGCCGACGCCGGTGTCGCAGGCGTCCGTCTCGATCGCGAACGGGCGCGCGAAATCTGGGAGCGCGAGCACGGGCGCGGTCACCATTGCGCGCTTGAGGATATCGAACACCACCTGCGCCTTCTCCGTCCACTCAAAGCCCTTCTTGGTCAGCAAGCTTGTGAGCGGCTTGGCGATGATGCCATAGTGCGCGATGAACTTGCGATAGTAGCCGGTGAGGCCGAGGAAGCCGCGGAGTTCAGTCGCGTTGGTTGGAGTAGGCCACGCCACCATAGCCTGCGTCTTCTCGGGGTCCGTGGCGACGCCCTCCTTGGATATGATGTGGCCGAGATAGGAGATACTGTCCTGGGCGAACGAACACTTGGACTCCTTGGCGTACAACTGGTGCTCCCGGAGCAGGGCGAGGACGAGACGAAGGTGTTCCAGATGCTCCTCCAAGGTTTCACTGAAGATCAAAATGTCATCAAAGAAGATTATGACAAACTTACAGACGTACTTGGCGAAAATTGCGTTCATGAGGCACTGGAATGTCGTCGGAGCGTTCGTCAGTCCGAACAGCATGACTTTAAAGTGGAAATGGCCATGGTGGGTCTTGAACACCGTCTTCTCCTCATCGCCCTCGCGCATGCGTATCTGGTGATAGCCAGCGTGGAGGTCCAATTTGGAAAAGAATGCCGCGCCAGCTAATTCGTCGAGCAGTTCATCGACAATGGGCAGAGGGAACTTGTTCTTGACCGTGGCATCGTTGAGCCGGCGGTAATCGACACAAAAACGCCAGGTGTCGT